CTGCCTGTTTAAAACAAGAAATTCCGTTACATAATCCGTTAACACAAAAAATTTCGTTAATTTGTTCGTTAAAAACAAGAAATTCTGTTACATAGCCACTTTTAATATATATATATATATATATATATATAACCTAGAATTAAAAAAATATGATATATTTATCGTTTTATTATTAATATTTGACTTTTTCCACGAATTGAAGGGGAAAAAAATTATTAGTCTCCAATAAACCAACCATTTGGAATTAAATTATAAAGAGCTTAGTTTATAAATAAATAAAGACGAGTGATGAATACGTAAGCAATATATTGAGTGAAATAATTTATAAATTTTACATAATGGAAGCTTAATAAAGGTGCCAAAAATGGCCGTAAATCAGTATATGCTTTAACTGAATGAATAAAAGAAAAATAAAAACCCCCCGAATGATTACGTTTATGGCTGGATTCGGCTTCGTTATCTCCTCCAGTCCCCTGCCCTGTTCCTCTCTTCAAGCTTGCGCCCTCTTCACGAGCCCCCTTTTCCACCACACTACTTCACCTCTATTTTATTACAAAAATTTTAAACAAAAATCCAATTCACCAATAAAGCAAAAACCAAGCAAAACCATGACTTTCAACTAGCGCAGTTGCGATGATCCATGATTCTTGAAGTTCCCTCAAACAACAACAAATCCATTTTTGAATTAAATTTTAGCAAAAATGAAAAGAGAACGTGATCGTCGCAAAGCAGAGACGGCAGCCGCCACGGGAAAGTTGAAGATTTGGGAAGAAGGGCAGCCGCAAGCTGATGCAGGAATGGACGAGCTCTTTGCTGTTTTGGGTTACAAAGTGAAATCTTCAGACATGGCGGTTGTAGCAAATAAGCTTGAGCAATTAGAGATGGCCATGGTCACCACTATGGAAGATGGAATTTCCCATCTTTCTACTGATACAATCCATTACAACCCATCTGATCTCTCTGGGTGGGTCGAGAGCTTGTTGACTGAGCTCAGCAGTACCAGTAGTTTCGATGTGATCCCACAACAAATTGGAGTTCCAGGTGAATCTTCCAGTAATCTTATTAGTTTCTCCGATGATAAGCCAATACACCAGAACAGAAAAGTCATATATGATTATGATTTAAGAGCAATTCCTGGAGCGGCAATTTGTAGAAGTGGGAATGAAGACGAGAACCCAAATCATGAACCATATAGTGTTATTAAGAGACACAGGTCTTCTCCTGGATCTGAATTTCTTGATAATGCTTCATTAGCGGCGGCGCGGCCAGCGGTCCTGGTCGATTCACAAGAAACAGGTGTTAGACTGGTGCACTCTTTGATGGCTTGTGCAGAGGCTGTTCAAAGAGATAACATGAAGCTAGCAGATGCATTGGTGAAGTATGTTGGTATATTAGCAGTTTCTCAAGTCGGGGCCATGAGAAAAGTCGCCACCTATTTCGCAGAAGCTTTGGCCCGGAGGATTTACAAGATTTATCCACAAGATTCCCTTGAATCCTCCTATTCCGATGTTCTTCAAATTCACTTTTACGAATCTTGTCCATATCTAAAATTCGCCCATTTCACTGCTAATCAGGCAATTCTTGAAGCCTTTGCAGGTGCTAATAGAGTCCACGTGATTGATTTCAGTTTGAAACAAGGAATGCAGTGGCCGGCACTGATGCAGGCTCTGGCTTTGAGACCCGGCGGTCCTCCCGAATTCAGGCTAACTGGAGTTGGGCCGCCGCAGCCCGATAACACTGATGCTCTGCAGCAAGTAGGATGGAAATTGGCTCAATTGGCTGAGACAATTGGCTTGGAATTCAAATTCCGAGGTTTTGTTGCCAATTCACTGGCTGATCTTGATGCCAGTATGTTGGACGTTAAGTCTAATAATTTGGAAGTTGTAGCAGTTAATTCGGTTTTCGAGTTGCACAGATTACTGGCCCGGCCCGGTGGAATTGACAAAGTGCTGAATTCAATCAAAGCGATGAACCCTAAAATAGTGTCTATTGTTGAGCAGGAGGCTAATCATAATGGAAATGTATTTTTGGACAGGTTTAATGAGTCATTGCATTATTATTCCACGATATTTGACTCGCTGGAGAGTTCCGGGTCCACTCAGCCCAACAGCGAGGACTTTGTGATGACCGAGGTGTACTTGGGGAGGCAGATATGCAACGTGGTAGCGTGTGAAGGGCCGGACCGCATTGAGCGACACGAAACGTTATCACAGTGGCGGGGAAGGATGAACTCCGCCGGGTTTGACCCCGTCCACTTGGGTTCCAACGCGTTCAAGCAGGCGAGCATGTTACTGGCGCTGTTTGCCGGCGGAGACGGGTACAGGGTCGAGGAAAATGATGGGAGTCTCATGCTGGGATGGCACACTCGGCCGCTCATCGCCACCTCCGCTTGGCAGCTGAAGCCCCGCAGAGTAGATAGAGTTGACTGGGTGAGTCAACTCCAACTGAGTCATGATTTTCTTGGCGAATCGAACCCACTCAAACCGCTGACTGCCACCACAAAGAGTGCTATCTCTGAGTTGGTTTGAGTGAGAAAGTGGGGGGTCCAAATTGAGTCAAATTATGTCTTTTTACTTTGACCTTTTACTTCTCCAAGTCAGCATTTTCTTTTCTTTTTTTTTTATTTTACTTCTTTTTTTTTTTGTTGTAAACATGAAGATGTCATTTTCAATATTTCCCTTTTTAGTTTGAATTAGTTATATGTACATCTTACTTCACACTATGATCGATATTTTCTCATATGTGACACAATTTGGACAGTGATGTGAGAAGGTATTGGAGAAATCGAAAGATGTGATTGTGTCATGAGTAAGATTGTAAAAAATAATGTAAAGAATAATCTACATATTGAGTTTAGTTTTCTTGTACTTTGGCAGAATTTTCCTTCTTTACCTCATTTCTATGGCTAGTGTGTTCGTAGCCCCGTTTGATAGTGATTAAAATTAAAATTTTAATTTTTTATGAATTTCACAAATTTTCAACCACAATTTTATCAACCTTTATCAAAATTAATTAAAAATCTAATTTGAAATCTCACCAAATAGGGACTTAAAATAAAGCTGAAAGTATTTTGCAATGTCATTATTCAATAAAATGGTAACTTCATTTTTCGATCATTTCATTAATAAATTTGAAAAAAAAATATAAAAAAAATAATTGAATAATTTTGCTAATCTACAAAACACACACAATTTTGTCGTTTTCAGTTATTGTCTTTTTTATACTCTCTCAAGTAATCGAATCTTTCTCCCGCTTGTTTTCGAGTAATTATTCCAAAATGCAAAGAGTTAATTAGTGTTAACAACGTTAAATAGTGGCCTGCATGCCTTTTTCTTTGGAGCTTGGCCATGAGGATAAGATTAAAATGCTTGTCATAATAATTAATGACCCTAATAATCAATCAAAACTCTGATTACAATTTGGTAAGTGGTCACTATTTTTCACCAAACATTATCCTTACTCCACTTTAAATAAATACTTTAATGCTTTCAGTTAGAGTGTGTTTGATTAACATAGAAAACATAACTTAGATTAGAAAACATTTTCCTTGTTTTGAGGAAAACAAAAATCTACCTGTAAAGAAAATGTTTTCCTTAAAAACAAGGAAAACTAAGCATATTTTCAAAAGTTAAAAAATATTTTCAATGGAAAAATAGTAATCAAACATTCCAAAGTAGAAATTTGGGTGGAAAATTGACATTTTCATGAAAATAAATATAGTCAAACACACTATTAGTACATAAGACTGAGTCGAATAATAAATAATATATATATTTTTTTTTGTACGGTGTTCGGTATTGTTCAATTCAATATGCTCCTGATTGGGCCCAGTTAAAATGAAATTTTGGGAAAAAAAAAAGTGCTTAAAATAGTGTTTTTTGTAGAATGTGAAATTTAAAAAGTAAAAAGAAAATTTAAATTTACATTTAACATTATTTTATGAAAGAATATTTGATTGAAAACGAGTTTTGAATAAATAGAGCCCAAAGAGGGTTGTATGTGTCATTGCTTGCATGAAAAAGATGCATGAATAATTGGAATAGCAAAAAAACATCCCATCACGAGAAAATTGATATGAAAAAGCGGTAAATGACTTTAATGGGATCTTAGGACAATGAACGGTGAACTCATGCTCTTCCCATGTGCATCATGTACAATTATTTGTCAAAACAGCAACTTAAAACCTTGAAATAATTGTTCCCATTTCTTACTTGAACAATTTGGGGTCCCTAAAATGCGGTCGCATGTTTGTTCAATGTTGTCCAGGCAGTCTTAACCCATTTGCCAATAAAAGAGGAAAAATATTGATGGAATGTTGGCTATGGTCCACTCTTTGAGGACCCTTTGTTGCTCATCTCAAAACAAAGCCCACGTCACTTGCATGCAGATTTGCTAGATGTATATTAGATCCCTGTTTGATTCCCATTAAAATTATAATACGTTTCTCTTTCTCTTGTTTTCAACAACATATTTTTCGATAAAATAATATTACACGTAAATAGAAATTTTTTTCTTCCTTTTTAACCACCCGTTATTCAAAAAACACAATCCAAAAAATTATAATACCAAATAATGAGAGCTAAACAGAGGCTAAGTTTGACACCATGAATGACATTGTTTGACGTGACGCATTTGGGCCATGGATTTTAACAATACTTATTCAAATCATTGGCACAATTTTTCATACATCACATAATGTCATCCATAAATGAATTACTAGCATAATTCCACTTGTATGTGATATTGGACATGGGATTTGTATACATATATATAGAACTAGAGTTGGCAAAACGCGAACGGCCTAAGAGCCTAAAGTTCACAAGCTCGTAAAAAAACTCGAACTCGTGAGCTCAGAAGCTTGAGCTTGAATCGTGCTTGAATGAGCTTGAGCTCGGCTCATCACTTTAATGAGCCAAGCTCGTGGGTACACTACAACAAATGTTAATTTTTACGGCACACGTTTACGGCGTGCATATAAGGCATGCCGTAAAAATAGACTATTTACGACATGCCTTGAATGCAAGCCGTAATAATCCAGTTACTAAAAGTATTTACAGCATACAATGATGGCATGTCATAAAAAATTAAATTTTACGGCACACATTGATTGCATGTCGTAAACGTTTTTACGGCATATATTGATGGCATGCCGTAAAAAGTTAAATTTTACGGCACACATTGATTGCACGTCGTAAACTGAAGCCCATTAGCCCCATACCATTCAATTCAACCCAATTACCCAGTACCATATTTATTACATTCATGATTCATTAGACCAGCAATTACAAACCTCCTGCCTCTGCCTCCTCCTCAGTCCTTCCGCCACTCAGTTTATGGCCCTTGCATCTGCCATTTGAGTTTGGTTGTTGCTCGCAGCTCACCACGCTTGGTGACTGGTCAGTCGGATACTCGGATTAGCTGAAGCTCCAACTACAAGCATATACTCGTTTTCCTTTTCTAATTTTTTGTTATTTTGAATTGTGTAAATTGTAGTAATGTTTATTTTTTTTTTCTTTTTATCACATGAAATTGGCACTTTGCTCTTCAATTGCTCGAAACCTATATATTGCTCTTCAATTGATTTTGCCACTAGACTTCAACTTCTTTGTAGACTTCTAGTATTGCTACCTCTGTGACTATGAGTTGCTAGCTTACTCTGTTACTATTAATATGTGATTTGTGAAGTGTGAATTGCACAATTTCTGAAAATAGTAATATGGTATTGCCCTATAATTTTTGAATTGCACTGTGAAGCATTTGTCAAAGAACGCAATTCCCAACCATACAAGGTAAGCTTCCATTGCTTTATATTCCTAATAAAATTTATGCTTGTATAATACTAATTGATTTTGTAGGAAAAGAATTAAAGATTCAAAAAGATGAGAGCAGGTCAAATCATAATGCATACAACAAGTAGAAAAGGTTTTGCTCGCTTAGAAGCTGAAATTGTAAAAAAAAATTAAATTAAAAGTTAAATGTGCTCTAAAAGTTATAAACGTTTACAAACTATCACGTATATGAAATATGTAAATTGCAGCTTACTGAAAGTGAAGGCCCTGATTCTATAACAAGAGACGATGTTTTTATTCGAGGACATATGCGAAAAATGGTAAACCTATTAATGAACCAGCTGGGGAAATGTTGGTAACAATATTGCTTTTAGTAATTTTTGATCATTTAAAGCTTATATTTGTAAATTTAGCCCATTAATGTATTTCCTCATATCAGAACAAAATAAAAGCATGTTCAGAGACGGTTACCTCTCCAAGCAAACACTCCCTCAAAGATGATGGAGTTGCAAGAGTATTTGGTCCAGAACATTGATGACAGGTAAGAGGTCTTGGTTTCGGTGTGACTCCTTCAAAGTTGAATACTTTGGTGCACAATCATAACTTGCAACCTCAAGTCCAAGAGTCGAGAGATGAAATTAAGGAATTAAAAGCTTTGTTTCAAGTGAAGAGTAAAAATGTTGAACAAGAAAATAATATAAGTGAAAAACTAGAATTAATGAATGTTATTCTAAATTACATATAATTTCTACATTCAAAATAATAAATTGTACAATTGAATATGAATTTTACAGTCTAAAAGCTTGAATGGTTTAGATGACCTTCAAATAAGAAATGCAAATTGTTATCTTAGTTTGGGAAAGCTGATATTGTCACAAAAGGTGAAATCGCATCAACAAATCCAAGTGATTTAGTGCATCATGTACCCTTTGGTAATGAATGCTGAAGAGTTTGGGTTAATGAAGTGAATGATAACGTCAACTTGTATCGTCCTACACTTGAGCTTTTTCTTCTTGAAGATGCATTAGGAAGTACAATTGCATGGCCAATTAGGTACATTGAAGTGGATTCGCTATAATCATTACAAATGTATACTTAACTTCTTTTCTATTTTAATTCCATTTGCATTTACATTCAGTCTCAATTGTCTAAAATCAAGAAGTTGATGGGGGTGGTTTATTTGAATTGAACATCAGGTTTTTATTTGGTGCCCAAATGATTATTTATATAAAATGACTTGAGATCATGACAGCATTTGAACTTTTATGGATCTATATGTTAGAATTCTAATTGTACCCTTAATTATTTTTTGGAAGGTATGGTGTGTATAGATTAATTTCTGTTAGAGCTCACATGTTAATCAAATTATCTTTGTAGTTTTACTAATAATATACTCAAATAATTACTTGTCATATGTACTATGTTGATTAGATAAATGTTAATATATTTATTGATATACTTTTGATTTACATGCTCACTCTAAGTTTATTAATTATACCCTTATTATTTTTGTGGTATGCAAGGAGTTGATATTTTGTGGGATAGCTAAATTGTCGGTCAAAGAAATTAATTTTGATATGGTTCAATTTTTTTTTTTTGAAGTAGTAGTCTTTTGAGAATTGTTGAGATGAATTTTACATTAACATGTTATATTGAACTGTATTCAACGGGAGAAAAGTCGCCGCATTTTCGCTAGCCTACCGTTAGTTAGCCGCTCGGGTAACACCTGCAATTTTTCT